TAAATGGAATCCATTTGTAGGTTACTATAATTTAACTTTCAAAAAGTAATTAAAAGTGCTGCTAGTGTTTTGGGTTTTTTGTTTGTTTTTGTTGAGAAAGAGTCTCTCTCATGAAGCCCAGGCTGGTCTCAGATTCACTTACAGACTGAGTGCCTATTACCTTCAATGGCTGGTCGTCCTGCCTCTACCTCCCAAATGCCCAGTTTATTGGGTTCTGAGGTTCAAACACAAGCGCTCTTGCATGCTAGGCCAGCACTTCTCCCAACTGAGTTCCATTCCCCTTGCTGTGTTGGAGATAGCATCTCCCTGTGTAGCTCAGGATGGCCTTGAACTCACTGCAATTATCCCGCCTCCACCTACTGAGTGCTGTGATTACTGTCTCAGGCTGCCACACCTGGTGTAATTGACCTTTCAGTAATGACTGGCTTGCAAAATGTCAAAAATGTGCTAGTGCGTGCTCAGGAACAGGAAGGGGCCACCAGCAGCATAGCCCTGGCCCTACGGGTCACTTTATCCAAAAGAGGCCTTCTATTTTAGTTTCTCTTCCAGGCAGTTATCATTGTGTGCCGTGGTATTAAAACTTTCATCAGTAGAATTGTATCTGTTGCGTTAGAAATATGGCTCAGTGGCGAAGAGTGCTTTCTCTTCTCCAGGACACACACTGGGGAGCCCATGACTACCCATAACTCCATCTTGAGAAGATCTGACCCCGTCTTTTGGCCCCTGTGGCTCAGACACTCGTGTGCACATACTGGTACACATAATGAAATATAAAATAAATCCTTAACAAATGTAATAAATAAAATAAAAGTATTATTTATCTTTCCTCCTTTTTTTTTCTGTGTCTCGAGTGTACAGAACATACTGAGTTCATTATAGGTAGCTGATGAGTGTTTGCTGAAGAAATAAGCAGTAGGGTTCACGAAGAAGAAATTAAAATAGAGTAAATAATATACAGGTGTAACTCTTACATAATTTTTCTACACAAACCGGTAAACAAAACTCTCTGAATTCAGCAAAGGAAAATAAAGCTGTTGTCATTATGTTCTCATGACCTAATTCCAAGGCCGATGAGGATAAATAATTCAATGACAGCTCACTGTCAGTAGCCATCACTGGCCACAGACCACAACTCCAGCAACAGTGGGAGCTTCTGCAGCCTGGCTCCCATGCAGCGGCCTTGCCAGTGAAAATTAAAACTGTTATTTATACCCATTTCCATGACATTCTTAAAAGTGACTGATTTCTCTCACTGCTCATTTTAATAATTTGCTTTTCAGCTCCCGCTAGACTTTCTGGTTATTGAAATCTAACAACCTGAGGACTGGGGATGTAGCACGGGGTTAGGACTTGCCTAGTGTGCTCAGACCATGTTTGATCTCCAGAGCTTAAAAGGAAAAGAAAAATTAACCCCTTGTCTGCTTCGTGTCTCTGCAGAGATATTTCCTCTTTCTTCTCTTTCCTCCTAAGGAACCCAGTTGACAGCAACCCCTTCCCCATGGGTGTCTGCCTGTCACAACCATGCCAGGACAGGAGCCACACTCTCGGCAGCACCCTGAGTCAGTGTCATCGGGTCCTTTGGCCTGAGGGACCTGGATGTTTCCCAGGCACTGCTCTGTGAACTCGGAAGGGCACTGCTGTGAAAGTGCTAAGAAGTTAGTGTCTGTTTGGTCGGTCAGAGTGGTATCCCAGCCCTGTGGGAGGAGGCGGAAATCATGTGTGGATGCTGGAAGGCACAAAAACAGGTACATCTCTGGCCTGCAGCCCACAGGCTGACTGTATCCCAGGATGGTGATGAACGCAGTTCAACTTGTTTGTTCCGCATTTAAAACTGTCACACTGCAATGTCAAAAGATTGAACACCCCTGCTCTCAAAGTATTGGTTTTTTTTTTTAAATGTACTCCTACAAATTGCTGTAGAATCTTAGCAGGATAGTAGGTACTAAGGTAAGTCGTACTGCTCCAAGTGGAGCAGCCTGGTCCAGTGTGGTTTCCCTCACCCACCAAAATGACATTGATCCTACTCACTCTTATTTCTAAGTCTATCTGTGTTCATGTAGAATTCATGCTTCATGAAACTAACAGTGTTAAAAAGGAGACATGGCCAGACTATTAAAAGAAACTCTAGCTTCCAGTAAAATTATCTGCCAGGACTGGAGAAATGGCTCAGTGGTTGAGTACTTGCTGTTCTTCCAGAATATTCAAGGTTCGTTTTCCAGCATCCAGGTCAGGCAGCTCACACCCACCTAGTAACTCCAGCTCTGACACCCTTCTCATGTGACATGCGCCAGGTTGGTCTCAAATTTGCTAAACTTGCTTTGCAGCAGAGGATGACCTTGAACTGCTGATCCCCCTACCTCCACTTCCCCAAATGCTGGGATTACAGGTAAATGCTATGCAGCCTTAGCCTTAAGGTTTTTGTGGAGGGTTTTTGGGGGGTGGGGGAGATGAGACAGGAGCACACTCTGTATCCTATAACTCACTATGCAGTCCAGCCTTGCCCTGAATTCGTGAGAGCCACCTGCTTCTCCCTCCTGAGTGCCGAGATCAAAGGCATGCCTCGCAGCCTTTGAAATGTGTAAATGCAAACACCATAACTGCCATCTTGAAGGAAACAAGAGATGGTTTACTCTGGAATGCCATTGAGTTGAGTGACCGTGGTTCAGAAACACAGATTTATGTGACCCCAGATTCCGTGTTCCTGAAGTTTTGTAGCTTTACAGAACAAAGAAATGTATAGATTAAGGCAAGTTTAAAATACATTGGTGGGGACATCAGAGAGGTGGTTACAGCAAGATGGAGGAGCTTTGCTATAGGCCTCAGATCCTCTCTGATGGCATAATTAACGTTTGCTGGTGGTCAGTTAACAGATTCCAAAAGGGTTTTTTTTGTTTTTGTTTTTGTTTTTTTTTTTAATCTCTTAGTCATAAGACAGTTAACAGACAGAGGTGGGCAAGGAATGGCTGGATGTTCAGAAGGGCTAGAATTAGCCCAAGATAAGGTATTTAGCCTCTGGACCTGCAAGGTTCCACAGCACTGAAATCTCTCCACAGCAATGAAGTTCTAATCTGTCATTCTCCACAGACACAGCTTCTTTCCTGGAATTATTGTTCACCAAAGAAAAATTTTGAACCTGTTGTCTTTCCCATCCTAATTGCTATTCAGTTTTCTTCTAATCCTAGTTTTCTCTAGTGGTTTCAGTTTTTTTTGTTTGTTTGTTTTTTTGAGACAGGGTTTCTCTGTGTAGCTTTGCGCCATTGGAACTCACTTGGTAGCCCAGGCTGGCCTCGAACTCACAGAGATCCGCCTGCCTCTGCCTCCCAAGTGCTGGGATTAAAGGCGTGTGCCACCACCGCCCGGCGTGGTTTCAGTTTTTAAACCCTCTGCCATTTCCACCTGTTAGAGCCTCTTAGGAAACAACAGTATTCCTTTCCCTAAAGATGTATGGAGCCACCCTCTGGCCTCTGTGACCAGGAGTCCTTGGCTCCTTCTTAGCCATAAGAAAATCAGATTGTTTTTCCACACACCATAAAAGTCTTACTGGTAAAATGTTAATGGTTGGCATTGCAAAATGTCTTTGGACAGAGATAAAGACTTCAGCAAAAAGCACCCGGGGAAAATGCCTCTGGTTCTTGGCTCCTGGTAATTGTCAGGTTTGAAAAATACTACATCATAGTTTTACTTGATGGAATCTTATCAAAACATGATTTGATGAATATAATTTCTTCAATCCAGGCTCCTTATCAAATTAAAGGCTTAGATAACTTTATGGTTGAACACCTAAGTAATTAAAGGTTTTCAGCAAAGTTAATCTTATTTCTGTATGACAGAGACACTGTTTATTACATCTCAATGTTCACTTATGTTTGGACATAAGTATGTGCTTTATTCCAGTCAGATAACTCTAAGGAAATACCGCAGAATGGGTAGTTTATCAACCACAGAGATGGATTTCTCACAGTCCTAGAGGTTTGGAAATCCAAGATCAAGGTGGAAGCTGACTGGGTGTCTGCCGAGGACCCACTTCTAATGGATGGTACTTTGTTGCCATGTCCTCAAAGAGCAGAAGGAGCCAGGTGTTTCTCTGGATTTTCATGCAGGAGGATGGAAACTCGGACTGCTTAGCATGTTCTAAGTCCTGGGATGCTTAGGGAGGCTCTGTTTCAAAAACAGCAAACAAGAGCTCTGTACATTGGCCTCTGCTTCTAAAACCATGCTAACAGAAAGATAGAGATTTTAGAACAAAGAAAATAAAAAAAAAAAAATAGAAAAGCCGGGCGGTGGTGGCGCATGCCTTTAATCCCAGCACTCGGGAGGCAGAGCCAGGTGGATCTCTGTGAGTTCAAGGCCAGCCTGGGCTACCAAGTGAGTCCCAGGAAAGGCGCAAAGCTACAGAGAGAAACCCTGTCTTGAAAAACCAAAAAAAAAAAAAAAAAAAAAAAAAAAAAAAAAATAGCCGGGCGGTGGTGGCGCACGCCTTTAATCCCAGCACTCGGGAGGCAGAGCCAGGCGGATCTCTGTGAGTTCGAGGCCAGCCTGGGCTACCAAGTGAGTTCCAGGAAAGGCGCAAAGCTACACAGAGAAACCCTGTCTTGAAAAACCAAAAAAAAAAAAAAAAATAGAACAAAGAAAATGGGGCAGCTGGGTCACAGCACAAAATTCTGTAGGTGGATGGCAGGGGGCACCTAGTGACTCCTACAGCGGCATGAAGCACCTAGTCTTGCTGTTGAGAACAAACAGCTCTAGGGCAGAACCCCCAAGGACCCATGTGCCTCTGGAGGTGAAGGTGAAGACGGGCCTAAAGCCAGAAAGACTGGTGGGAATTGTGTCTGAAAAGGGAAAGGGGGAAGTGATGTCATTATATTTTAATTTCAAAAAAAGAAAAAAAATGAAAAATTCATACTGTTTTTATCATGCATTGAAGAATAACACTTGGTAAAATTTGATAGATATCTAGAAAGTTGATACCACCCCAGATTTCTTGATGATTTGTTTTCCAGAATGCTGTGGAACTCTGTCTGGAGGCCATGACCTTCTAAGAAACACCAAGAGCTCCTGATGGCCATGAAGTTTCCTCCAGTGAAGTGGAATCATGTGGAACAGCTGAAAAATGATCCCTTTAAAGGATGAGAACCACTGCACTTTCCATCACTGTATGCTTACCCTCTTCCAAATAGCAGCCTCTGTTCACCTGAGAAAGTAGAGTTGGAGTGGATTAAATCTCTGGCACAATTAAATCCATTTATTTCTCTTTCCCTCTCACTCCCTCTTCCCCTTCCTTCATCCCTCCCTCCCTCTCTCCCTCTCCCTTCCTCCCTCTCTCCTTCCTTCCTTCCTTCCTTTCTTCCTTCTTTCCTCTTTTGACAGGGTCTCATGTAGCTCAGGCTGGCCTCAAACTCATTGTGTGGCTGAGGTTGACCTTAAATTCCTAATCCTCCTGTCTCTGCCTCCGTTAGGCTGGGATTGCAGGAATGAACCGCCATACCTAGTTTATGTGTTTCTGGGAACTGAATCCAGGGCTTCTGCTCGATAGTCAAGCATCCACCCACTGAGGTGCATCCACAGTCCCAGCCATTTCTTGTTTAATGCCTTATAGTTGTCTTAATTATTTCTCTGGTCTCTGTGACCAAGGATCTGACAGAAACAGCTTAAGGGAGAAGTGGTTTCTTCCGGTTCCTGGTTCCAGGCACACAGTCCGTCACAACGGGGAAGGTATGTTGGCAGGACCTGGTCTTGTCCATGTTGAGCAGAGTGTGAGGCTGCTCCCTCACACACCTTCATATCAGAAAGCAGAGGGAGCTCAGGCTAGAAGTGGAGCCAGCCATGCCTCATGTCCAGAAGGTTCCACAGTCTTCCAAACAGTGCCAGCAAAGCCTGTGGGAACATTTTATATCCACACTATAATGATGATTATGTTGTCATCAATGTAAAACTGGTTTCCTTTGGTAGTGTTTGAGGCTTTCAGTGTTTTTCTTTTCTTTTCTTTTTTGTCTTTTTTGGTTTTTTCGAGATAGGGTTTCTCTGTGAAAGCTTGACTGTCCTGGAACTTGCTCTGTAAACCAGGCTGGCCTTGAACCCACAGAGATCCACCTACCTCTGCCTCTGGAGTGCTGGGATTATAGGTGTGTGCCACCACTGCCTGGCTTTCGGTATTTTTCTTTAGACATGCTGTCTTTCCTCTTGTTAGAGGCTAGAAACAGCGTGCACAGCAGATCTTAAACTGTCTGTAGACATCTTGTTGAGTGAGGACATGCTGAGCATTGTTGGGGCTGCCAGGCTTGGGCCCATTAGAAAGTAGTTTAGGTCTCACCTCAGAGGATATCAGAACCAGCTCCAAATCTTGAGTCAGTTACCAGCTTACAATCACATGGTCGTTACACCAACAACGTTCAGTTCACCTGGTTTTCTAAGAGACCCTCAGATGGGCTCAGCCAGATGAAGTCTCTTCTCCACCCAGGACTGGGGCAACCCAGGCATGGGCTTGGTCAAGATCCCAGGGAGGATGAGGTGTGGACTACTTTGACATTCAAGGGTCCTACTGGCTGAAATTGCTAAAGGTTAGCCAAAGTCAGCCAAGCTAAGGTTCGTCCTTGCTACAAATAGTTGAAACTGTGGCACTAGCTTTACCACACAGTCACAGAGGCACAGAAAGTAACATAGTTGTCTCTATGGATGACTTATGCCTCTTGTTTCTACCGTGAGAACGTGGAGCCTCATACTTCTCGGATAGGAATGTATAGCAGTAGAACCACCTTGGAAAACACTGAGGTTAACAGTGTATTTCCAGCAGCAGCGGGGTTGGGAGTGTTTCATCTACAACGGGAATCTGCAAGGCTCACTGCCAGAGGGCCAGACAGTAAGTGTCTGGGGTTGCACCCGACACCCGGGAGATTGTGACTACAGCTGTGGTTGCTGGGTAGACAACATGCATGTGAACGAGTGTTTTTGTGGTCCAATAAAACTTGGTCTATATTTGCATTTGCATTTCTTGTCATTTTTGGCATGAGAAAAAGCATTTTCTCTTTCCAGACATTTGAAATGTAAACACTGGGCTGGCAAGGTGGCTCTGTGGCTATAAGTGCTGATGACCTGAGCTTGCTCGTTGGATCTGCTAAAAGTTGTTGGATTCTAAAAGTTATCCTCTCTGTGTAGTTGTTGTTGTTTTGGTGGCCGCCACTCAGCTCACAAATAAATACATGGAGACTTATTCTTGCTTATGAATGCCTGGCCCTTAGCTTGGCTTGTTTCTGGCCGGCTTTGCTTAACTTAATTATCCTGTCTACCTTTTGCCTCTGGGCTTTTATCTTTCTCTATTTTATATACCTTTTTTACTCTGTGGCTGGTTGTGTGGCTGTGTGGCTGTGTGGCTGTGTGGTTGTGTGGTTGTGTGGCTGTGTGGCTGTGTGGCTGTGTGGCTGTGTGGTTGTGTGGCTGTGTGGCTGTGTGGCTGGGTAGCTGGTCCCTGGTGTCCTCCTCTCCTCCTTTTTTTCTCCTTCCCCTTCTTTTCTTCTCTCAAGCCTTGATTTCTCCTATTTATTCTCTCTGCCTGACAGCCCCACCTATCCCTCTCCTGTCTTGCTATTGGCCATTCAGCTCTTTATTAGACCAATCAAGTGTTTAAAGCGGGCAAAGTAACACAGCTTTACAGAGTTCAATGCAGTGTAAAAGAATGCAACACATCCTTTGCATCATTGAACAAATATTCCACAGCATTAACAAATGTAACACACCTTAAACTAATATTCCACAACACCTCAATTCTGCAAGCATGCTATGGTATGTGCATAAATGTACTTACACATGCATCATACAAATAAACAATAATAAATAAAAATTAAAAAGTACTCACACATATGTAAAGTAACTCTCAGCCATGGGCTACATAGAAGCAAGCAGGGAGATGTCTTACCCTACAGATTGTAGTGTTTTAGGATTGCTGTGCAAATGCACTAAGAGGGTCCTGAAGGAAGCTTGCTGTTACTTGTAACAGTAACAACACCAAAAGTTTATCACAAGCACAGGCCATAAATGGTAATGTGTGATGTATCCATATGATGGAATACCTTCTGGCATCCAAAATACAAGAACTTCAGACAGCTCCATGTGTCAGCACGGTTGGATCTCAAGCTCTTTATATTGATCACGAAGCCAACCACGGAAGAAATCTTACAGCACAACACAGCTGTATTTAGGCTTGAGCTTGACAGAGGTGAAACTAAGCAATGTAAAAGTTATAAAACTAATAGAAAGGAAAAAAATTGTAAAAATCAAGGAAGTGGTTCACTTAGGAAATAGGAGTGAATGTGACCCTTTGAGAGATGAACACAAAGGGCTTCCATGCTATTGGAGTTTACTTCCCATTTTACCATATCCTGTTTTGTTTAGTGTGTATCCTTGTACACACTAGACTCTACCTTTGAGCTACATCCCCAGTCATGTGCTTCCTAAATTTAATTCTGGATTTCCCAGCTTTTAGGAGTGCCTTTCCTTCTTGTTTTAAACTGCATGACTCAGCAGAAATAATATGCTAATTAATATGCATTTTATTAAAACTTACTTTGATCTTTAAAAAATTGCTATTAAGAATTTAAAGTTGGGGGCTGGAGAGATGGCTAAGTGGTTAAGAGTACCGACTGCTCTTCCAAAGGTCCTGAGTTCAATTCCCAGCAACCACATGGTGGCTCACAACCACTTGTAATGAGATCTGGTGCCCTCTTCTGGCCTGCAGGGACATGTGCAGGCAGAATACTGTATAATAATAAATAAATAAATAAATAAATAAATAAATAAATAAATAAATAAATCTTTTTTAAAAAAATAAAAGAATTTAAAGTTGATGTACAGCCTTTTTCAGATTAGTTTAGGTTTAAAGGCTTAGTGGATGGGTTTTGGTTTTACAGGAAAGGGTGCCCTCTTCAGGCACCATGTTTAATGTTGTTAAAATTTTTTTTTTCAATAGAAAATGTAGAGTTAAAAAAATTCCAGAAACAGTGGGATGACATAAGAGGCATTGTGAGGCGTTCTGTGTCTTAGCCAGTTCAGAGTATTTTAGAAAATTTGAGGAATAGACTTTTTTCTCTTTCTATATAATAATATTACTTAATTCAAATTTGAAAATTCCCCATTTTGGGGGGCTGGAGAGGTAGCTCTGTGGTTTACAGAATGGACTGCTCTTCCAGAGGACCCGAGTCTGGTTCCTAGCACGAGTTTGGTTCCTAGCACCAATGTTTTTGCCTGTAATTCGAACTGCAGGTGATCCAACACTGGTTCCGTGGGCACCTGCTCTTACATGTACATAGCCACCCCCCATAATTAAAAATAATAAAGTAGGTGCTGGAGAGATGGCTCAGCAGTTATGAGCACTGACTTCTCCTTCAGAGGACCTGGGTTTGATTCCCTGCACCCACATGGCAGCTCACAGTTCTTGCTAACTCCAGTTCCAAGGGATCCCATGCTCTCTCCTGACCTCTTCAAGTACCAGGGATGCATGTGGCAGACAGACAAATGTTGTGGAATATTATTTTAGGATGTGTTACATTTGTTTATGCTGTGGAACATTTGTTTTTATGATGCAAAGATGTGTTGCATTCTTTTATGTTGTATTTGTTTAACTCTGTGAAACTGTGTTACTGTGACTCTCTAAAACACCTGATTGATCCAATAAAGAGCTGAATGGTCAATAGCAAGGCAGGAGAATGGATAGGTGGGGCTGGCAGGCAGAGAGAATAAATAGGAGAAATCTGGGAAGAGAGGATGAAGGATTGAGAAAAGAAGGAGCTAGTCACACAGCCACACAGCCAGACATGGAATAAGAAAGAAAGAAAAGATATACAGAAACAGAAAAGGGTAAAAACCTAGAGGCAAAAGGTAGATGGGATAATTTAAGTTAAGAAAAGCTGGCAAGAAACAAGCCAAGCTAAGACTGGGCATTCATAAGTAAGAATAAGCATCCATGCGATTTATTTGGGAGCTGGGTGGCGGGCCCTCCAAAGAGCCAAAAGAGTAAAATAAAACAACAGCAGATATATACTCAGGCAAAACACTTACATACATTAAATAAATAATAAAAATATATTTTTTAACATTTCCATTTCTATTTCTTTAGATACATGAACCCCAGTAGGCTCTTCCCCTGGAAGGTAAAAGCTACAGCTGCGGTATTGCTCCTGTGGGACACTCTTTGGCCCACCATGACACCAGTGGAGAGAGAGACTGAATGAATCTCTTTCACACTGGCAACAGCTTAGATAATCTTACAAGGATTTCAGAATTCTGTTTCTATTCCGAGAGGAAGCATCTGCTCGGCTCTAAGATCTTACCCAGCCTGACTCCAGTTAGCCTGAATATTTAGCACACACCTTCATGTAAATGTACATGTGCAGTATATGGAAATGATTGAAGCAGAAATTACTGGTTAGTCAAGAATTGCAACAAATTTAGTTGAAGTCATGGCAACTGTAGTTTAAAAGCAATCAATGGATCTATTTTTTTTTCCCCACCATCACAATTCAGTTTAACAGTATTTGCTTTCTTTGTTTACTTGTTTAGGATAATTATTGTAGCTTTAAATGAAACAAAAATATTTATTTCCCTGTATAATCTTGAAGCAATATTGTATTAAAAATATTCTATTTATTTTCAGCTTCCAGATCTTGTGCACTTGAGGTTTATGAGATAGTCCTGGTAGTTAACTAGACATTGTGCTCTGAACCTGCCACTGACAGCTTCGGCCCATCCATCCAGCAGTAGCTTTTGGAAGGGACTCCCTTCCCCTTAACTTCTGATCACCATTACAGCCATGCCAAGGAGTGAAGGAAGGGAATGGAAATGAAAGTAGGTGCTGGGGTATAAAGAAAAAGGAATCTGAATAAAGAGAGTTGGTGTTCAAAGAGGAAGCGCAAGAGTATGTTCCAGAAATCAAAATGCTGGCAAGTGGGTGTTTAGCAGCCATGTTTTAGTGGGCGCTATGTTAGTTTTCCTTGGAGACTATTTTTACTCACCTCAGTTAGAGAGGATAAAACTTCCATCAAAGTCCACCTTCATGAACGAGTCCGTTTATTGGAGTTACATGAACACAGGTGAGGGGTTACTTTCCTGAACATGGGTAACTAGGGTACCCGCATCACCGAAAAGCCCAGTGTGGTCAAATCGTCACCAAAGCTGCATCGATGGAGTCCCCTGCACAATGGACAGACAGCCACACCACTAAGTCTCCTCTCCCCGAGCTGCTGTACGCTGTTTACATAAACTCAGGGACGGGCTCTGGAGTCTGGTGAGTTGATTGTGAGTTTCCTTCGCCCTGCAGATTTCTTCCCATTCCCCCACAAGGAAAGGCTTCGGTCTGGTGGGAAGAGCCACGCAACAGCCACAGTGGTGCACAGGGCGGCTTGTGCCACATTCCAGGGAAAACAGGAAGAAAGGTGGGGGTCCCTGCCCCAGATGCTGTACCGATGATCTACAGGGCAATCAGGGGAACAATGCTGACGTCCTTTTAAACTATAAAGGGTGAAGTCGGAAGCCGGAAGTCATATGAAACAACTTCCAGAACATGCTGAAATCCTAAAAGCAATGAAACAGAAACTCCTGGTTCTTTAGAAAATGAAGAAATCTAGTCTGAAGGTATTGGAGACCACGATGAAGGGACCGGTGACACGGAAGCCGAACTGGGTGTGTTACAGTCCGAGTTTCCCAAGGACTGTCTTACAGTTGGGATCTTGGCCTTGAACTGTTAAGAATAAAACTCCATTTAGCATGGCTATAGCTTGTTGAAGCAGATAGATTTATTTTCATGAAAAATGTACTTATGATATTGTTTTGAAAATTGAAGATTCCACATGATCTTCAGTGACACATCAACACTTTGCTTTTTATATGTAATGGAATGTGGAAGTAAAACATTCGCAATATGCATGGTCCAAAGGGAGAAAAAGCATCTTTTCATTCGTGACTCCCTTGTTTCTAGTGAGTGATGTTTTGCA